CAGGGAGGCAGAGCAGCGCCCATGATATTACATTTTCAGGGGAGCAGCATCGACTGTAGAAGGGGAAACAGAGAATTTGATGTAGGGCCATGTAAAAGAAGCTTACGAACGAGGTCTGTCCCCTCCCGCACCCCCGTTCTGCTACCTGATTCCAATAGCTGGAGTGTTCGGCTGGGTTTTCTTAATTAGCTACTACACATCAGGGAGCTGCATTTTGCCTGCAGCTCAGACAAATGTAACCTTAAAGCAACACGGAAAAACAATTTTCAAGATGTTCTGCTATTAGAGATAGCCTCACATTTAAACTTTGGAAAGGACACGAGCTTGCAGGGCGCGTCTAGGCCAAATGTCACAGTTTTACTGCCCCGAAGTCATCTTCCCAGAATTGTTTCGGGTGGAGAAGGAGGCTTTCAATAGGAAAAGGCCGTTATCAGGGTTCTTTCACAGTTTCAATGTAGAAGTGGGCCTGGGAAACTAAAGGATGTGTCAGAAATGTCATGCCCTGGGTGGCGTGGTTCAGTGGTTAGAGAGTCAGCCTGTGCACCAGAGGGCCTCGGGTTCAATTCCCGGTCAAGGGCATGTACCTGGGTTGCAGGTTTGATCCCCAGCCCGGATCAGGGTGCATGAGGGGGGCAACCAATCAATGTGTTTCTCACATCGATGCCTCTCCCCCCCCCACACCTTTGATTTTACAATAGAAAGGAACCTCTCACCCATCTAGTGCCTTATTATGACTCATTTCACCAGGTATTGAAACCCCCACAGTCCCCAAAAGCACAACCAGATGATGCCTCCACAAGGCAGCCTCCCCCCTCCCCCCATAGCTCCTGAAGAGGCTCATTTACTAAGAGGTTTACTTTTTATTTAAAAAGTTTCTTTACAAAATGCGTCATGTATTCATGTTGCTCTGATCGTGTGGCCATCCTGATTGTCATAAAGATGTTGACTACCGAGAATCCGAGGGCAAGAAGAAATGGAAACTACTAAGCTCAATACATGCACGTATTTTTGCTGTGGGAAGAGATAATAGGACAAGGGATACATCGATTTCAAGATTAAAAAGCATGTTAGGAGTTAGGATACAATCCTGTGAGGGGAGGGGATTGGAAACATAAATCTGGGGGGAAGGGAACATTGTAACATTTCTGATTGTTAACCAGGAGCTTTTCATGGGTCTTATAAATGGATGGTGGTGGGTGTCGAGCCTTCCTGTTATTTATAATTCCAATGGATACATTTAAAAGAATGATGTAACCATTTAATTTTAAATGTCAAGATTTACAATACGCTAGACACTTTATCCTTAGCAACTGTTGGAGCGGATGAAAAATATCAGGTGTCAATTTTTAAATGTGCAAATGGATACACAGTTTTTAAAAGTTTTCTCTTAGCAGTTACAGGAGCAATAGTCCTGAAAGACTACTGTTCTCAGCCTGGGTTACACGCTAGAAACCTGTCCAGATTTCCATCCCTCCTCTGCCAAATCATTCTGCAGACCAAGGAAGTCAGAAGAGTCCGGGGTTAGACCCAGGCGCCTGGAGTTTTAAGAGCTCTGCTGATTCAGATGTGAAATCAAGGCTGGGAGCCGGAGCAAAGCCACCGGAGGCAGGTGTCTGCCTCTGTGTGGAGCGTTAACGCTGTGATTCTGAACCCCACCCTCACCCCGCCGACCTGGGGCGCCAGGCAGGTATCTGCGGGCTCAGCCCACCTACAGCACAGGACAGAACAGGGCCGGGCATGGAGACGCCGTAGGTGACATCGCTCATCTCCAGAGACCGGCACTGTAACCACGAAGGCAGAGCGAGTGTTATTACCGACCGTGGGAAGGCGAAGGCCCTGCTGAGAATCCCAGTCGTGTCCCAGAAAAGAGAGGTCAGGGAGGGATGCCAAGAACTCGGGGCGGGGGTGGGCCTTTCACTGTGGGGGAGGACGTGGCCGGCAAGGGAGGGGCTGGGCGTCTGGATACACAGTCACTGTGTATGTGAGTGTTGCATCCGAGTGGGACATCGATGCTCTGCAAAGGGGCCTCTGGGCCCAGAGGAGCAACACCCTGTTCACATAAGTCAGCTTTCAGGGATTTACAGACGCAGACAGGGAGGTCACCGATCACATCACCATCTTATCTTCCTGGGCAGGGATTTCCCGGAGCTGGTCCCCGCTCCCAGGCTGGTAGATTAGGTTCTGTGGGCGCAGAGGGTCTCCGTTCTCAGAGCGGAGCGGACAGGAGCGGACGCCGCGTAGGGTCCCCGACTCCAGGCTGCGGCATCGGGCTGGGGTTGGAGGTGACTCCGTGCGGCCTCCCACGTGGAGGGGACCGTGCGTGGCCCCCAGGAGAACACGGGACGCTCAGAGGGAAATAGCCACCTCTGTGCCCATTCGCAGGCACCCGGGGGCCCACTTTCCAGAAAGGCCCGTCATCGCCGCCTCACGCTCTGTGGGGAGGTGGCAAGGTGGGGCTCGAGGTTATAGCCGTGTGTGTGTGCATGTGTGTGCGCGTGTGCGCGTGTGTGTGCGTGTGTCCGTGCTTGGCTAACAGGCAGACTCTGGCTGCTGCCCCCAGCCCCGTGCCTGCCGTGTTAACTGCGCCTATTTGCCGCTGACTGGGAAGCAGATGGAGCAGCGGCTCCGTGACCTCGCCTGTCCTTCCCATTTAAGGATGTCTCTCAGCTGAGCTGTGGGGGAGGAAGGCGCCCCCTCGCTCCGTCGGCAAGGTCCTCACAGGGTCAGCGCCGGCGGCTGGACCGGGGCCCGACGCGTGTCCGCGGAGTGGCTGGGATTCGGGAAAGGTCACGGAAACCGCTCTCGGCTCATCCCCCCGCCGTGTGGTTCTCCACGTGTGTGTGCGTCTTTCCACAGCCGACGGTCCCCATTCCAGCTCCGCCCTGGAATGATATTAATAGTTTCCTGTTCCTCACAAGGTCAGGAGGAGGCTGTTTCTTCATAAAGAGACGCCTCGCTCCGGGGCCGGGCCGGGGACCCGCTCTCATCACGGTGGACACAAGCTGCGTCTGCACACTCAGCCTCCTCTCCCACCTCTCTCAAGGGCATCCCGCTCCTTTTGGGGACCCACCTCTCCCCTGGATCGGTCCACACAGTGAGCTGTTTCCAGAGGTGGGCACGCGGACCAGGACTGAGGCCACCTGGCCACAGAGATGCGGTTGAAGATTAGCACCGGATCCAAAGGCGACGCAGACTCATGACTTTTGGTGGAAACCCTGGAAAAGACAGCGTCACATTTTTGGGGGGATGCGTAGCAGTAAGGATGATACGAGGCAGAGCTGCCAGGAGCTGTCTCGCCGAGGGCAGCAGTGAAGCCGACACAGACACAGAGAGAGGGCTCGCCTGATGGGCGAGCTGAGGCTTGATCCAGCCATGCCTGAAGCTGTTCCCCAGAGCTGTTCAGTTACATGAGCCAATGAAGTCTCTTTTGTCCCCCTTAAGCTGATATGACTGAGGTTTGTGTCGCTTGCTGTTGGAAGAGCCCTGAGTAAGATGCTCGTGAACGGAGCGGTGAGAGCCGTGAGACGTCCACTGCCCCTCAGACTGGCTTCCAACAAGCGAAAATTCACGCAAACACGAGGGACCCACTTCTGTCGACCTGCTCGCGTTTCCCCTTATTTCTCTGGTTTCTGGAGCGAGATGGTGAGCGACCTGAGACCAGGGACTGCGTTCTGTGTCTCTCGAATGGAGTGTCCGCATTTTAACAGCCTCCATGAGAACAGAGCCTGGGAACACATTCCAAGCTCTTGTAAATAATGAATGAGAATGGATGGGAACACGGACGCTGATTAAATTGGAAATCTCCAGGCCAGAGTTAACGACGTGGCAGCTGGCGGGTCAAACGCTGCCCGCGGACATGTTGGGTTTGATCAATAGAACGCCGTTGTTTGCTTAATTGCTTTGTCAACATTTTCAAATCAGGAGAATTAACATGAATCTGGATTTCTGGCGTCTGCTGAAATGGGGGCGCTCTGGCTGGGCTGGTTTTCCCAGGGGCCCTGCTCAGCGGGGGTCCCCTCCCTAGATGAGGTCTGCCTGCCTCACACCCCGCACCCTGCCGTCCTCAGTGGGTGCACCTCTGCGCTGCACCCAGGCCACCAGGCAGCCACGACGGCAATGCCCGTCTCCCGACTGTGCCCACTGGACATCCGTGTGTGTCCTCACTCTGACATTTGTCTTCATGCCAACCCTCAAGGCGTGTGAGTCAGGACAACGCTGTTTTGTTTTTTTAAATTTATTGATTTCAGAGAGAGGCAGGGAGAGGGCGAGAGAGAAACATCAGTGATGAGAGTCATTGATCGGCCGCCTCCTGCTCGCCCCCTGCTGGGGATTGATCCCACGTCCCGGGCCTGTGCCCTGACCGGGAGTTGAACCTTGATCTCCTGATTCATAGGTCGATGCTCAACCGCTGAGCCACGCCGGCCGGGCAATCACGCTCGTTTAATCCTGGTGGGTGTGAGTCCGTAGTTTATCTGCTCGCCCGTCCTGTCTGTAGAGGAGGTGACCCGGGACACGCTGGTGAGGGGTCTGGAGGAGCCGAGTTCACGCCGGTTCAACGTGTCGCCATTGGAACTGGGGGTGGAGAGAGCCAGGGTGCTCAGGGTCCCGCCGCCCAAACTTCCAGCCGCTCGGACAGACCAGCTCGAATTCCCGTTGTTTGTATAGTGACTCGGGCAAAACAGTCTGGTTCTGTGTTAACTGTCCTGGTTTCTGCCCTGATCGGACTGCGGCCAATCGGGAGTGGTGAGGTCATGACAGTGGGGACGGCTCCCCCCCTTGGCATTGCCAGTGAAGGAAGCACCTCATTTTCAACCCAGCTTCCGAGACAGGCTCGGCGGCCTGCCACTCACACTCTAGCCGGAGCTAAAAATGACAGTGGCTTTCATGGGACACAGCCCGTATTTGTCTGACGACCAGCCTGTTTCCCGTTCGGAGTCCAAGCTCCTCCCCGGTTCTCGGCGCCTCAGTCGCCCGAATGAATGGATGGATGAATGGCCGTGATGCCCACTGACAACCGCCTGGATCTCCGCCATCGCCGGGAGGTGGGCCCGGGTCAGCCAGCACCCTCCTTCCCATCCAGACGCGGGCGTGTCAGGGCGTGCTTCCGTCTGCTCTGCCACTCGCCTGCTCTGACATTTTTTTTTTTCTTTGTACTAAGCTCATCTTGCTGAGTCTCGAAGCGTCCAGCCTCTGGCCTAGGCTGTGTCAGTGTCCACCAGTGTTTTATTTGCTTACAGTGGCCCTGGTATGTGCCACGCTGGGACACGGCTCGGTGAAGGGCTTTTGAATCGCAG